TTGAAACTTGGTTTCAAGAACTGGCCATTTAGATCTGTTGACTGTGGTGGCTAAGTTAGGTGCCCAAATCCTTCATCCTATTTATTGAGTCTATCTTTGACAACTACAGCAGTGTGAATTGGTGCATTGTCTTCTTGAAAGAGACCAGCACCATTTGGTAATAAAGTTCTCAACATAGAGAGGACCCGGTCTTCAGCAAGGTTTAAATAAGAATATGCTGTCATTCTATCTTTCTTGAGACCATAGGCCCTACACTATTCCAACAAAAACTGTCCATACAATTATAGAGCCTTCACAATTTTAACTGGTGGCATATGGTATTTAGGACTGTAGGCTTCTTTTGGTTTTCACCACATGTGAACACATCTAATTGGTGGGCTATGACTCTTCTAATCAAACCACATTGTTCCAGTTTTTGTGGTTTATGTTTGTGAAACCATTTTATTTGGACTTTTGCATTTTTCAGTTGGTTTTCTTTCACGTATTTGCAAAAAGTTACCCATGAGCTATCTGTACTAACTGTCCCTAATTTTTAACTTTTTAAACTAGGGGGAAGGTAGCTAGTCTAGAGAACCCACTGCTAACTTTTAGGCTACTCATCTGGTCAAATAATATGAAATGACCATCACACTTATAATGTTCCCACGACCCAAAATTTTTTTCATTTCAGGAATGCGACATGAAAAAAGAGGCATCACCTACCCACCTTTTGAACAAGGGGAATACTGTTACTAAATTTAAATAACCTAAATTCAGGTAAGATGCGTGTCGCCCACAAAACCTAAAAGGAGAGTGGGAAAAGTATTGACAATTTTTAAACACCTATGTTCTACGGAGCTGTAATATGTTTCCTCATGGTCTATTACTAATCCAATTTAACATGTCTGAAACCTGTGATGAATTTTGGCAAAGTACTGGTCACTGGAAGAGAGATTCCACATTATTAAAAAAGGGTTATTATGTTTGCCTATGATATATATATGTATATATATATATATTTGCAATACGGTGTTATTTTACTCAGCTGGTAACATTTTGGGGCATTATGGAATATGGAGCTTTTGCAGCATTGAAACAAATAAAACATGGTCAGAGTCCCATCTTGATTTCACAGAACTTCTGACAGTACTTTAGAATGGTCACTAGAGTTGAGTTTACAGACCTTCTGACACTACTTTAGAATGGTCACTAGAGTTGAGTTTACAGACCTTCTGACAGTACTTTAGAATGGTCACTTGAGTTTAGTGAAAGTACATGTCTTTCCAGAAGTTATTATACAATAATTTTCTTAATATTTTAAAACCTTTATTAGTACATATTATTTAACAGAAATTAAATAATACTTTACCAATAAAGCATAGGTTTTATCAACATTTTTGGTCACATCATGAAATTATTTTGGTTAACTTATAAGATAATAACTTCTTACATTTGTCAGAAATTGTTCTTCTCAAATATGAATTAAATGAATTGAAATATTTCCAGATCTGTAGTTATCTTGAAGAGTGAGTCAGTTTGTAGATTAATCATGTTTCTTTATAAATTGTATACATGAAACTGTATTTGTGTAACATAAAAGAAGTTGTATAAATGTCAGCTACAGATTGTTTTAAACAGAAAAAACTGAACTGATCTGTCATTACTTATTTGTCAGTAAATATATATACACACACACATTAGTTTTGTAATTGTGCATATAACTGTACAGGAAGTGCATTTGCTGATGCTGCATCACTTGTTCAAATTCCAAACACAAACCATGTTGTGTTATCATAATTACCTGGGTATACATCACTCAAAATATCAGTCCTGTGACTTCATTAACATTTTACAACACAGATAATAAAACAACTACTATTTTATTTTCACCAAAAGTCCCTTGAGCAGAAGCTGGTGACTGTGTTATAGACCGTAGTCGACTCTGAGTGACATTCTGTGGTGAGAGTGACCCACTCTAAACGTTCCAATGCTAACTAAACAGAAAAGAGTTTAGAGAGTTTGTAAAGTTGTATTACAACTGAACATATAAACAGTGAGGGCAATGATGCATCAGTGCAGTAAAATCATTGTAAAACTTGTTTATTTGCTGACTGGTTTACGTTATACATAGTATTAAGATCAGAATATATGACAATGTCACAACTACACACTTGTTTTCAGGTCAGTCTGATTAAATAGTTCCTATATCCTTGTTTTTACTCTCAATCACTTTTAAGTTTACAGATATTCTACGTCAGCTAATTTGTATTTTAGTTCTTCTTTTACTATGCCAAAGTAAAGCATGACAGTTTTGAAATTTCTTCTTTTCATCTGTTATATCATTTACACAAAATTTGAAAAAGTTTGGCTCATACTTTATAGCTTAAAATACAAGCAAGACACCTAACCATGTATTCATGTTTTTCCGATTTATCATTACTGTTCCAGACATCTTGGCACCTAACCATGTATTCATGTTTGTCTGATGTGTCATTACTGTTCAAGACACCTTGACACCTAACCATGTATTCATGTTTGTCTGATGTATCATTACTGTTCCAGACATCTTGACACCTAACCATGTATTCATGTTTATCTGATGTGTCATTAATGTTTCAGACATCTTGGCACCTAACCATGTATTCATGTTTGTCTGATGTGTCATTACTGTTCCAGACATCTTGGCACCTAACCATGTATTCATGTTTGTCTGATGTGTCATTACTGTTCAAGACACCTTGACACCTAACCATGTATTCATGCTTGTCTGATGTATCATTACTGTTCCAGACACCTTGACACCTAACCATGTATTCATGTTTGTCTGATGTATCATTACTGTTCCAGACACCTTGACACCTAACCATGTATTCATGTTTGTCTGATGTATCAT